AATCTTTTTAATAGCCCTTTTTGGTCGCCGACTGCAAGCAGACTTGTTAGGGGCGCGAAACCTTCTCTTCGTGGCAAAACTCCCTCTACGGCAAAATCGGCCCTCCGCGGAATAACTTGCGTCGCTCACCGAAAAAAAATAACGCGGCCGCCCTACAAGTCTGCGAAGGAGGCTAAGTACCATGGGGGCATTTGTAGTCTATGCGTCTATGAAAGTTATACATACATGTAACGTTACCAGAAATGAGATATACAAGATTATTGTTACTCAAGCAACTGGATTTCAAAATCTATGCAATTCCTTGACAAACAATTTCTGGCGTTTGTAGTCTATGATTAGATGTAATCTCTAGACTTTTAATCATTGTTCCCAATGGGTTTAGACTATTGTATGAAGAAAATACAAACAGCTACAGAACCAGTTGAACCACTACACAGGAATGGGATGGGGGCAAATTAAGACAAGAACTGGAGCATAGAAGGGGCCACAGATGGGGGAGAGGCCACACTAGCTTGAGAGGCCAACATTAAGAATCAGAGGTCTGTCTAAGTTCATTAGAAAAGTGAATTTGTCTATACTACTTAAGTGTATAAAGTGGAAAGGAAGGAAAGTCTCCAATGCCCTTATGCAGAGCGTAGGGTGGTGCCCATATCCATTTCTGTAGCCCTTGGGCGACACACAGTTGTGCAATGCACTACAGCAGGGGGGCTGATCCGCTGGTAGTGCTGTGTGTTTGACCTTCCCACACACTTTCTCCTATGTGCTGAGTGCTAAGCAGAGAAAGAAGTGTGTACCATTTTTAAAGTCTTTGGTATGACCCGGCCGGGGTTTGAACTCACGACCTCCCGGTTACAAAGCGAGCACTCTACCAATTGAGCTATTGCACCGGTATAAAGTGGGGAAACAGCATATAAAGTTAAATTCTCTCACTATTGTACAGACTACATTCTATACTACAAAATGATGTTCATCTTCTGTTTTATCTAAATTACAGTATCGACAAGTCTGTTGTTCCAGGGGAGTGTGGTTATGTCTTACGGTTTCAATGTGTAGTTTATGGCAGCTGTTGCACATGGTACCGGTCCTGTGCCGTTTGTTGTCGATATTTTTTGGAATGCTCTAACTATTGCATGTTACGGTGTCATCTTCATGAAAAGTGACGGAGAAAAAACACACACGCGGCCTCCGAGTAATTATACCGCAGTGTGTACACAGGTGATTGCCTAATACGTACCTGCCCTCTTCTGCCCATGGTTCATCTTCCCGACTGCCCTCTTGGCCATCCCCAGCTCTTTACGAACATGAGCATCTGTGGTATCAAAATAACAAAAAAAAAAAAAAATATGCGTCACGATATGGCATTTCTAAAACCTGCTTTCGTATCTATACTTTGACAACATCTAATTGATTGATTTTCTGCTAACGTGGGAATGAAGAAATGGATTAGACAAGGGATGTTATGGAGGTTGGGTCAGTTGAACAACCGAGCAAGCCGCTACGAATCCAGATTGTCGACACAACTTAAACACACAAGTACTGCAGTCTTCTAGCTACCAGGATTCGAACCCGGTACACCGAAAGACTAAAAGGTCCGGATCCTTTGGACTGGTCAGTAAGAAGAGCTTGAACCCCACTGTTACCCTACGTCCCATTTTCTTTTTAGAATTTCGTTTCATTGAAACACGAAGAGACGCGTAGTACAGTCTGCTGGCTCCCGGGATTCGAACCCGGCAGGTCGCAAACTCACGAACCCAACGGACTAACCGCGAGGCTAAAAGATCCGTGCCCGCTGGACTAGTCGCGCTTGAGTCTCACACTGATCGATAAACAATGACACCTCTGTTTACTTACCGTGGACCAGGTTATGGTCTCCGCGCACTTTCTTCAAGGTGCCCTCCAACTCAGTCAAAGCCTTCCCCGCGGCCGCTGATAAAAAAAGAAGATTGTTTGGAATTCGCTTTTAGTGCTGTTCTCGGTCGTATTATCATAATCAACAGGTATCAATCAACATGCCTCGGATCGAGCGAGCATGTTAAAAAGAATTTGTGCTACTTTGACTAAACAAGCACCGTGAGTTAAAAAAGGAATGTGACATTTTCCCTTTGGTTAACTCTTCAAACAACAAGACAGTTGAAAAAGGGTTACCATGATTATATCAATAGGCAAGAATTGTAATTTATGGTGTCTACTTACCACGCTTGTTTCTCGATTTGCTTGCTGCAGCTTCAGCTGTAAGGAAGGAAAAAGTAGATATTTCAAATCAACCATCTTTTTAGAATCGCTTTTAATGTTGTCAACTTATACACCTAGTCCGTGCGGACTTTGTGGCCAAGAATTTCTTTAGCCAAATATGTTATTCGCAATCGTTCTCGACCTTACTTCAGTAGTCGCGGTGTGGCAGTTTTCTCTAGTTTGGATGCCGGCTGCATATGTTTAAAAATTACATATAGTGTAACGTTCATTACAAGTTCATGCCTTAGGACGAATAGCAGGTAAGAGTGAAAAGAAACTTCCGTAAAAAGCGGCGAATCTACATTCTAGAAGGTAAATTGTCTAAAACTATGTCTGAGGGGTTTGAATTCTTCTGGGTAATCCGTGGAATATATAATGTCCAACTTTTTCCATGATAAAAAGAACATAGCACATGAGACCAAATTGTCGCCTATGTGGTATAAATACTTACCGTCCACGGCAGCGGAGTGCACTATGGCCACCAGAAGAGCCAGGCACACCAGCACGGCTGTAGTCTTCATGATTCCCGTTTGACTCAACAAGTACTACTTTACACCAAGGATGGACACAGGACGTTCGTACGTGTGTGTTCGTGAGAGAGGTCTGTGGTCGTATGATCACCGTGACAACTTGTCTGACTTTTTCTTTGTAATTTGGGTTCTGCGCATGCGATTTCACGTTTTTTTTTTCATACGTAATACGTAATTATAGTGTCTAAAGTCTCACGTCAAAAATTACCCCTTTTTACCGTCACCAGAAAGGAATGGTACTCCCAGGTATAGCCCGGGGCAAAAGATTGTGTGAAGCATTGTCTATTCGTGAGAAGTTCAAATCAGCCTGCAGACTTATTTTCATTCAGATTCGAGGTCATTAGGGAAGATGTATATGATATAAGGTTCAGACATAATTCAAAGTTTACTTCATTTAAAGTCCTAAGAAATCTATACACATGTTTAACACACAGATGGCACCTGACACAGATGAATTCATTTGCATGCTAATTGCTCCTGTGAAAAAAGTTGTCTACATCCCTTTGTAATCCCGTCCATTATTTCCCTGGTGAAGACGTCACAATCTTCTCCCATGCGTCACGAGAGAACAAAAGATAACTGCCGCTCCCATCTTAGCCTGGGGCAAGAAGCTTTTTTTTATAAAGACATCTTGGTACTCTCGTGAGAGAAGGTAGTTTCAGGCTGGCCTATGGTAACACTGGAACATAACTAGAGAGGCCGACATTTGCTTGGGAGCAAATACAGCATATTTCAGTCCATCTCCCTCCCACGCAAAAGTGGACTTTTCCAAACTTACCCCAGTGTAAAACTGGCAAAGATTCTCAAATAAATGAATTATATACAGTAGTAGTAGTAGGTATGTAATTGAGAACAAAGATGCAAGATCAAGCACATTGAATCTCGAAAGCTTTACTAGTCTTATTACAGGTATGCAAATACTAACAATGATGAGATTTGATACATTTTGAAGGTCTTAGGCACATAAAATTGAATGTGTGGGTCATTCCGCATGGCTTACGTGCAATGTGACCTCAGGTAACCCGCAATGGAACACGTGTTCCATGGATGGAACCGGCCATTCTTTAGATAGAACATGGAACGGGTACAGCACTTTTGGCCCTTTTTTTGCTGAAAATAGCCATTAAAGTCCTCCAAATGAGTCATTTGCAAGTGGTGTATGCCAAATATGTGACTGCTATTCTGTAGACACATGTTCAAGGTACCCTTATACCGAATTTCAGATCATTTGGTTGTAAAACCAGGGCTCAGGATCCAAAAATCCATTTTTTGGCAAAAAATGCCCCAAAAAACCTTCATAAAAATTTTTCAAAGGCATGTATCAAAAAAATGAAAAAAACGCCTGGGGGTATTGGCCCACTCTACCTCCATGCCAAATTTCAAGTCATTTGGCCGAATGATGGCGGAGTTGAATCCCTTTGACTGTTTGGCAGGAGGAGAAGGAGGAGAAGGAGGAGAAGGAGAAGAAGAAACACCAGAGAACACAATATATTTCATCCATACCATGGTATGGACTGAAATATAATAAGCACTCATTGCGAGTATTTTGGCGAGAGCTAAAATCACTGAATTAGCAGCACGCAGCATGACCCCTTACCCAACATGTTATAGAGGTCAGTTCCTGTTCTATAGACCAGAGACACGACCGTAGGGCAGATGCCAGTAATAACAGCATGCCAGAGGGCCAGCAGCACCGCATGTAACGTTTTCCTCCCACCCATCCACCGACCCGTGGATTCGCATGTTTTGTTTCACCAAGCCCACTCCTCATTGTCTTCACATGCGTGGTGTGTGAGTGCAGATAATTATGGCAATGTGCATGTCAAAACTACATACGTCAAGAAAGTCACGTTTTTCGTCTATACGTCACATTTTCTTTGGTCAATGTGTGACATAAACGAGTACCAAGCTATAAAGTAAAACGTTCGGATAGATAGTACGACTACGTTACATGCATACATATGGTTATGCGATTTTGGTATCAAAATTAGGTACATGTACCAACAAACGTACGTTTGGGGTTGGTGCGTTCCAAACCCCCAAACGTACGTTTTTTGGTACCTAATTTTGATACCAAAATTGCATAACCATATGCAGTTTGATAGACAGGCATTCCACTTCGTTACACTCCTAATCATGTCACATCTGACCACGATATGGAATGTTCCATAAGGTCACAGCAAGTAAATTTTATGGATGACATCCTCCGCAGACTCCGAATCTAATGCGAGAGGGCGAAAAAAACAAGGAGGGCAAAAAGACAAGGTTCCTATATTTTAAAATTTCGACTCAATCATTGTACAAATAGTTTTGATTCAGTGGGAACATCACATATACACAGTTAGCATCACATATCGCTGCGTCAAAATAAGAAACAAAACATTAAATAAGAGCCTTGTCTTGTCTCCTCTCTTCATATTTATCTGCCACCCACCTTCCGGCATGGCAACAGACATCTTTGCCCATTTTCGGTATGTTGACCACTGTCAGAAGGCAACAAAATTTCTTTTTTTTTTTTCAAAAATTCAGGCAAAAATTAATGAGCGCGCTGATGTCATCCATAAAATTACTTGCTGTGGCCTAAGGTGACTGACCGCGCTATGAAGCATAGTCTGTGTACAATAGGTCACCAGGGACTCCATCTTATGCCTGTTAATCTTAAGGTAAAACTTTGACAACCATAAAGTTGGAGTTAGGTCGGCGAAGGTTAGACATCCAGGTAATAACATACCGCCAAAAAAGTTACTCAAGCAACTGTATATGTCTTTGGAGTTCTTTACCAGGTACTTCGTAGTAGTACCATTGAAATATAAGGTACGCCAAAAAAACAGTTACTCAAGCAACTGGATATGATTTTGGAAACGGTCAGACGTTTCAGGTAGCATCCACTACTTTTAGTCAGTGACAATAGAGAACTTGTGCAGAAATGCGGGTTTATGAGCAGGAACTATTGGTTGATATGCAAATAATTGATGACAGTTTTTTTTTGCGTATCTTCACTATTACCTGGATGTCTAACCTTCACCGACGCATTAAAATGTAACTAGTTAACTATACATGTTGTAGGCCACTGCATGAAGGTACAAATGTTATGTGTTCATGCATGGTTCATGAAGAGATACTAGTAACTTGTAACGACAGATATGCAACGACATCTAGCGAAATCAACAGAAACGACAAACTGAACCTTGAAGTCAACTCCGTCAGTATGCTTTTCAGCATGGTCTTTTCTAAACAATAGTAGGAACTAAATCAGTAATAGCTACAGAACTCCATTCTTCAGCTGCATCACAAGAAGATATGCTGTTCACCCGCAAATGTCATCTAGTTTACGGGCCTCTGTTTTAATTAAAATGTACATGTTGTAGGTCAGGCTAGGTGGGAGACATTTGGTACAAATATATTAATGTTAGATGTCACTTGCAACTACAGGTATGCAACGACATCTACCGAAAGGTACAGGAACTGCAGACTGTAGCTTCAAGTCAACATTCATCAAGCCTGATCTGATTTTAATGTATGTTGCGTAATTCTGCAGACCAGTATTTAAGGTGTATTAGTTTGGGTATTAAGCTGTTCATTGATAATTGTTAATGTCTTTATACCAATTTTAGGCAATTATGATTTTCTTTCAAGTCTGTGTATTTATTTATGAAGGTCCAAATCATTAGTATTAATCTTGTTCTTAAGGCTTCAGAACACAGAATCAATGGGCGACCTCGGGTCTATGAATAGGGTTACACAAAGTAGGACGTACAGCATCCTTGAAGCCTGGCTAGATCGTACGCGTGTTATATATGTGAAAAGTAGCCAATAGTCAACTGCGCTTTGTGGTATAGAAGTACGTAAAGTTTCAGTTGACCAAACGCTTACATCATCAAATATTTTCGTTCAAACGTTGACTTTGATGTTATATTATATAAGAAAGTTATATCAACTCGACGGCATCAGTTATGTAAAGCTACATCAGGCCACGGCAAGTAATTCTTATGTATGACATCAGCGCGCGCATTAATTTTCGCCTGATTTTCGGGAAAAAAAGTTGCCCCCTGACAGTGGACAACATGCCGAAAATGGGCAAAGATGTCTGTTGCCATGCTGAAACGTGGATGGCAGATAAATATGAAGAGGGGAGACAAGACAAGTCTCCGATTTATTGTTTTGTGTTTACTACTACTAAATCGATGAGGTGAAGTATTTATGCCTTTTATATGTGATGGTGGCTGTGTACATGTGATGTTCCCATTGAATCAAAACCATTTGTACAATGGTCCAAGGAGTATCTGAGAAACTCCGACGGATCTTCCAAAACTTCAACATAGCCACTAACTTCAAAACTCACTAAACCCTCAGACAAAGACTGGTACACCCTGCATTTCCCCTCTGGTCTCTCAGTCACTGACGAAAGCTAGTGGATACTAGCTGAAACGTCTGACGTTTTCAAAATCATATCCAGTTGCTTGAGTAACTATTTTTTGGCGTATCGTATTACCTGGATGTCTAACCTTCATCGACGCATTTGTACAATGATTGGAAACCTTTTATTTTCAAAGTTGTTTCAGAAACAAATGGATGATGCAATAGTTCTCAGTAAGCTTAGCACAATATAGGGATCGTTTCTTGTTCAACAAGGCGTATAATGTTAAGATTAAAAAAAAAATCAGGAATCTTGTTTTTTTGCCTGCCTTGTTTTTTCGCCCTATCGCATTAGATTTAGATTCTGAGGAGGATATCATCCATGCAATTTACTTGCTATGTCCTTAGGATAACCTTTGTTTGATTTTTCATAGTTGGACGCACCGGATGATTGTGATATGGTTTCCTTTGTGTTGTGAAAGGGTAGAACAATTATCTGAGGCAAGGGTCCGCCCTAATTTGGTTAGGGGTCATACAGCTGTTTAAATGTCAGGCACATACCATGAGAGTCGCGCGTGTAACGATTGAATCAATGGGGTGGGGAGGGGGGTTCGCTATCAAGTTCGGATGTGCCATAAGTTCGGACGGATTTTTACTGATGTTATTTTGCAAAAGTACGCCGTGTTTGTTGTCACTGAGTTTGCCAATTAAAAAGTAAAATAGTCATAGTCAATGCATACAGGTGTTATTTGCATGCAATGTATAGTTCTAGATACTAGTAGTTATTTATTGTTTTGTCGAAAAACAGAATTTCCCCAATAATCATGATGGCGCTAAGAAGAGGGTCACTTCGTAGCGGCCGCTCGTGCCCGGAAAAATACGAGTTTTGCCGAGCAGTCACACAACTGCTACACACATACATAAGAACATAAAGTTTTGCAAAACAGTAGAAATTTCGGTCTCTGATTGTTTGTTTTGTAGAAAACCGACCCGAGAAAAACAACGTCAACACTACTGTCGTCTGCATTTCCCATGATTCCTCTACGACCGTGTTGATTGTGTAAGCCGGGTTTTTAGAACGTCGAAACGCTGACTGATTGCGTTCGATACAACCCTACTTACGTAAGACAAGAAGTACACACAATCGCAATTCTAACATCAGAAGAAAGCTGAAATATGATAGAATTCAGTTCTTATTTATGTCTACTTGAAGTCATCACTAAGGTCTAAAGACAGCAAAACTACAAAAACGTGCGAAGTTAGGACACACTGTCTAGCGTCGGCCATTCACGAAAGGTACATCCACGAACACTCTCAGTCTCACAGAGTTTGACGCTTGTAACGCGGAGGGTGAAGGGCTCATGAACAGTATGGGTGCATTTCTTATTCTAGTATGTTCTCTACACAAATGATGAAAAATTCAGTCATCAAAACCTGACGACTCTCTGACAACTAGCGATAGAGCGCCGTGGGTTTGAGCGGGTGAAAAAGCGTCCCGGATGTTAGCCCCCCCCCCCGTTATATATCATATATATATGTTTCAATCATATTTAGATGTTTAAGAAGAGAAAGGGGATTTACTACTGCACTTTATGTCATTCTGATACAACGTTGACCAAATATTATCAAGTAATGTATGATGGCAGGAGAAGTACCTACATTTGTAAAGTTGTCCAACATCTATTTGTAACCATACATTACGTTTGGAAACCAAAATTAACTGCGTAACAAAATGCTGTCTAACTTTGATCCCTGATTCACACACCTTTGCTTAAAAACTCGACTCCATGTCTGACATTTAGCTAGAATTAATATACTTAAAGCTTGGTAGATTTCTTCACATCCCTGGGTACCTGGTGAAAAACTTTCTTATGTCTGCTAAGACGTTTCGTGTAGGGGGTTTTCAATAATTTTGCCTTGCCCTGTCCAACGTCTAGTTTTTTTATCGGCAAAAGTGCGGGCAAGATTGACTTGAGTTCGTTAGAGAATCTAGTATTCTTGAATAGAAACATACTAGACGTATCAACTTTAATTTACGGAAACAACCTGAAATATTAATATACTAGTATTTTAGTATCACTTTTTTCTGTATGTAATCCAATACAGTTGAGTATCTTTCAAACCTAGCCATGGAATGAAGTGGCGACGAAGTTTGGATGCATGAAATTAAAGGTATTTCAATTTGTATCTTTGTCAGATTGTGTGTAGCTTTTGTGGACTTCCAGGACCCGAGATAGCACACCCCGTCAATACAAAAGAAGTTAGCAGACACAAAACATGTCATGGCAGCAGTTTTATTCGACCTGGACACTGTCACAGTTTGTAAACAAACACAGGTGATGCCGACTTACATCTACACAAAGGTTCACTACACTTAGAGAGTCACATATACGTCAGAGATAATGGCAATTGTAGCGATATCACAATAGGTGTGTTGAACTAGATAAAATTTCTTTGACCTTTGCTTTCATGCACGATAACAGAACGTTTGCTGTACGTGCAGCTAGTGTAATTTTCCCGTGTTTTAACAAAGAAATTCCGTAAGAATACTTGGAGAATTATGACTATATGCATGAGATTTTACTATATTGTCATCAGAATAGTACGGCAATTAATGTACGAACTGATACAACAATTTTACGTGTCGTGCGATTTCACGCATTTTTTCTAGGAACAGAAATGGGTAGCTGGACTAAGCATAAGAGTAATCTCCAAGCAGATGTTTAGGTGGCCGCAAGAGACAGTATGAAATTGGCCAGGCAGTATCCATTGGTGGCAAATGGATACAGTCTGGCCAATGGATACTGCCTGGCCAATTTGATACTGTCTTTTGCGGCCACCTAAACATCTGCTTGGAGATTAGCATAAGAGTACATCTATGAAAGAAGGCTGGAAACTGGGTATTCGAGTCTACTCAAAACTTAACGATCAAACTAAAGATAGCGTGACATGTGGATGGCGCGGACATGTGGATGGCTGCCCTCGCTGTTAATCTGCAGAAAGACAAGAGCAGAAGAAAAATGAGTTGACTAGAGACTACGGTTCCCTGGGGCTATTCCAGTGTGTGTGTGTACACTCTGGTGGTCCAACGTGTCGTCCACAATCATGTATAATTATATCTAGTCCGCTCCAATTCTCCCTTTACAAAATGCACGTCAGTAGCTGAACGCTGAAGCCTATGTTTACGTACTAAAGAATAAAAAACAACTGCTAAAGTTTGCGTATCAGAATGTACAATTACATGGTGGAGCTAGCGGCTATGTTGCTTTGAACGTGTCCCTTGTTATACGTTATCTCAATGTGTAGTTATATTTCAAGGTAAGGCCATGTTAATTTGATTATATAGATGGCATCCTCTGGGAACCCCAAAACTGATGCGAGCGTGCAAATAGAAAAAATTAAGCAACAAAAAAATTGCCTTCATTATGAAATCTAGGTGGTCATGAAGGTTGAACAAATGACTTAACACACATATTCTATTTTATTGGCATGGTGAACAACATACTCTTCATTTTCATTCCTTCACATTTTCTTCTTGTCCTTTGAAATTGATTTTGGCATTCTGCGATATAGGTGTCGTTTTTAATTTTTTTTTTCAAGTTACGGCATATATTTGCTCTTTTTGCAACGACTTTGTACGATTTACAGTATGGTCGATTTTTTTGGGAAACGGACTAAAATTCATGCGCGCGTGGATGTCATCCATATAATCAAATCAACATGGCCTATAAGTGTTGACTAGTCGACCACGCACCGTTGCGAATTGCGCATTTATTTCTTCTTCAGCATCTTGGTGAAAGCCATGATCTTCTTTGCTCCCTGCGGTCCGACGAACCTAGCCACACTCTGACGCACTGGTGGGAAGATTAGGAAAAAAGAAAATAGCGGTTTTAATCACAGATAACGTTCACTGTCCAGACCGTATATTTATCAATATCTAGTATAGAGTTTGTTTTTTAAAGGCATCCAATGCAATAATGTCAGGGCAGCAAAATAAAAACGAAAAATTTCTGGATGAGAAAATATGTCTAATATGGACATTTACTGCCATATGCCATCATTATTCGCACTTGACGAAGTGTTTGAAATAGCCAAGAAACAAGGTACATCAGGAATCCTTTTATTTTTGGGGTACCACCAATAAATAACTAGAACCAGCGTACGATACATATCAAGCATCCATTTTCGCATACATTTTTGCCTCGTAGGATAGGGATTGGATAAAACTATAACATAAAAAGAATGACCAGAAAAATGGACTTTGGAAATCCAGTTTTTGACGCCCTAAAATCGCATTGGATGTCTTGCGCAATCAGTGTAGTGTCTATTGAAGCACGAACGTCCTTGATTGAAGATTGACGTTTCCCTAATACCGTCCTTTGAACATCAAGACTGCCGGCGCCACATGGCACTTATCGCCAATAGGTAAATCCAACTCCACAGTCACTAAAATATCAGCCCTGGTCCTGACGTAAGAGCAACTACGCGTTTGAATGGCACAGCCAAATTTACCTCTACAGTGTCGACGTGGACGGGCAAGACCTGTATTCAAGATTTAACTTACAGTATCTGACTCTGTAATCTGATGAAAACCCTCATTGTTTGAAATGCATTTAAGGAATCTTAGGGTGCGCCAGTGCGACGTCTTTTCTTTTTATTTGATGCCATGTCTAGATAAGTAGTGTAAGGAAACGGATAGACAAATGGGCCACTGTTGTCTCCAGACATTCTATCGCTGGGGGCGCTGCATTTAGCCTGTCACCCATTCAGAACCTTCTCCCCGACTACTAACCAACCAAGGTTGGCTGAAGTGCGGGAGAAGTTTGGCCAAATTTAGTTTCCGCCTACTATTCTTATACCAATCGAATCGAATTTGAGTCAAATTTGAGCTCCAAAACACAGCTAATTTACTCCTGAACATGTACCAGCCAACTATTAGCCTCTACAAGGCATTGGGAGGCGGCTGGAAAGAGTGGAAATTGGCCAAATAGAGAGATAACATGCCGGGGTAGTTAGTCCGCGGTAAGAGAACAGTTTGCCGGCAAACTGTTATTTCTCTATTTGGCCGATTTACACTCCTTCCAGCCGCCTCCTGAAGCCTGGTAGAGGGTAGCCAACCATGGCATAATCTCCTGTCAACACCTGAATGTTTTAACGTTTTTAATCATCATTTGGCTGGCCCAGGCGAACACTATCCCGCCACAGCCGACCTTGCTCCCGACTTACTCCCAACCATGGTTTTCGCACTTTTGTCTCACAGATATTAATATGCTATGGGATAGGCTTGATTCAACTCATAACATAAAAAGAATGACAAGAAAACTGAGAGAAAATTGACTTTGGAAATCCAGTTTTGCCGCCCTGAAATTGCATTGGATGCCTTTAGCAATCAAAGTACTTATTCCTACTCCTAACTATATAGTTGAGGGACTTCGACAGTGTTCGGGAGGCCCTATTCGGCTGTGTGAGAGACAGGGGCTTCAGTGGATATCGCCGCACGTCCTGGGGGATAACCAACCTCCACCAGGCCTTTCTACGGGAATACGGAGCGTAGAATTCGGCAAAAAAAGAGAGTAAAATTGCCAAGGGAGTCCGGCCGCGGGGAGGTGGTTTCTTTCCCTCCGAAGGGGGATACCGCTCGGGGGTTGGGCCGGACTTGCCGCCGGTACACTTGGGCGTAGTCCCCGCTAGTCTGACCTCCTCAGGTCGGGTCGTAAAACTTACTGACATCGATATGTCCGACCAAGACCACCGTGCCAAAGAAAGGGTTGATTGCTAAGGCCCGGGGACTGTGTTCGCCTTGGACAGTCATTTGCTCGACCGGAGTAGGTACTAATTAACTAACTACAGTTTTAGGGTTTACACATCGAATGTTAGAGAGAAGACTTGAAAAATATTCCCAATATCCTGACGAACTAGCCTTAGTGTACATTCTAAGCTTCTTCTCTTCCAAATAAAAATGATGTTTATTTGACAAGAACATGCAATGGCCACGCCGACCAATCTGTGGACTGCGCCGTTATTAACAATAGTTTGCACAAAAGTTGCAGATATTCTACACAATATTACTTATTTACTTCACCGTGGCATAGCGCCCAATACTCACTGATCAAGTCAGCTGTTCTAAAATATTTTCAGAACTCGCAAAGGTCTCTTTATTAAATACATTAAATATTAGTATGCGTCGATTGTTCTAAAACGTTCATGCTAAAGAATTTGTACCATGTAGCATCCCATGTAGCGTTTAATCATTAGATACCATTAGATAAGGTTTATAGTTTAGAGAAGTAAAAGTGATGAAGACGTGTACGTACGTTTCATGTAGTCTTCAGAAGTCATGGTCTTAGAAGCACGCTTGATCCTTTTCAGGGTCTTCCCCGCCTCCTTACGGAAATCAACATCTGAAGACAAAAAAAAACAATAATCATCATTTAATATTACCGTAAGTTTAATATAAATCGTGTTAGAACTGTGCGTAGACTAGTATTTTTTTTCTGTTCAACAAGTACAGTCCCTGTCACATTTCAGAACCCTCCCCAGACCACCAACCAACCAAAATGTTGGCTAAAGTTCGGGAGCACTAGCCCGGCCAGATTCAGGCTACGCCTACCTTCCGATACCGATCAAATCAAATTTTAGTTAAATTTGAGTCAAACATGACTGACTATTATACATCTACCACTCCTGACCCACTCCCAACCACCAGCCAACCATGCTCCAACCCCCTCCACACTCCCGAATGTTTGGAACATTTTGAAACATTCGGCTGGCGCAGCCGAACAGTAGCCGACTACCTCGCCGCACAACAGCCGACCTTGCTCCCGACCTACTCCTAACCATGGTTGGGGGGAATTTGGCAGTGTTCGGGAGGACATACATATGTGTGACAGGGGCTTACAACTTTAATATAGCAGAATTAACGTTTTAAAGTCACAGTTTCAAAATCAGAACGCGCAGCAAACAAACGCTAGTTACAGGTCGTGTATAGTCGACGTACCTTCCAACAGACTCTTGTCGGCGCCCGCAATCCTCTCCAGGTTATCCAAGTCTCGCTTCTCGAGCTGGCTCTGGAGTATTTCGTTCGCTGCAATAAGAAATAACAACTCTTTAAGTACGGTAAAATTTTCTTAGGGTCGCTCCGCTAACTGTAGGTTGGTGTTTCTACATCGCTACTAGTTGGAACAGTGAGGTTTCAAGTGCTGACGGGTCCTGGGCTTTTTGGCCTGGCGGGTATGGTGCTGCGTTTGCAAGCTAGCGGCCAGAGTTCGACTCCCCCTTAATGTTTCTGAGTGTTTCCGTTCTGCTCACCCCTGTACGGTACAGTGCATTGGTTTTCAATCAAACCCGGGCCTTGGCGATGAGAGCGTCAAACCCTAACCACTTGTTACACGTACAGTCAACTGGTTAAAACTGCAAGAAATTAACATAGTGATTATCATGGCAAAACTAGAATTACTGCTATTCAGCTCTACATATAGGGCCCGGTCTCATTTCCACGGTAGCTGCAACAAGTACATTGAGGGCATTCTGAGGGCTTTCTTGGATATGAGTCACAACATTTAGCTGTCGCATGACAGAAAAAAATCCATCCTTTTTGACGGTCGGTTTTTTTTTGTTTCCAGTGAAGTTTTACGGCAGAAGATCGATAAATGTGACCGCGGATGAATACACACCTTCCCCGGCGAAAACAACCGCCACCAGGAGCCCCAACACCACCAGTATGGCCGCAGTCTTCATGTTGGTCGCGGTCCGCCAGACAGTGTAGCCGTACAGTTGGAGTCAGAGGTGTGATCTGTTCGAACTTGGCTGTGAGCCGATCTTAAAACTAGTCTGCTCCCAACAACACTTCTAAATCTTGCCTCTGCGCATGCGATCTAGAGTTTTTGGGGTGTATTCACGTGTGGCCAAACCTGACACTGACGTCACAAATCGTTGCCGAGGCCGCGAGAGAAGACTGAATCACACATGATTGATGTTTGTCCACTCTCTGATCTGTACGCCTAGCCTTAAGGCGACCATTACGCTGTCATTTGCTGACAAGGCCAATCGACAATAATATCCTTGAAATCCTGCCTCAGATCTCACTTAAAAGATGAAAATATATGCACTATAGTTTTTTTTAGAGCAGAATGCACTTTTTGAGTCACTGATCATAGATATATATTATCAAGAGATTAATATTTCGCGCGGAACGTCTTTGAACATAAATTATAGAGCTTTATGATGAATGCCGTCCGGTAATTATCTAATTACCCTAATGGGATGGAAAGATCCGATTTCGTGTTCTTGTCTGATGACCTGTTGACACCGCAGTCTGGACACGCACATTTTATATTTTTGCTTAGGTGACATAACGTTAACATTTCTATGTATCGTGTAGTATGCAGTTTCTGCCACTTCCGATGTTATGATGAGAGTAAAGATATGAGGTAGAAAAACCCGAAGGTGAATTGGAACAGGTACGACGTAGTCTAACTAGCCTGAAGGCATGCGGGTACAGGGTCGCCGTTCTTTATTCTTTATTCTTTACTCAAATCGGCCTGGAGGCTACTTTTAATTGAAGTCAAGCCGGGTGCGCCACAGCCGCCCAAGGGGTAGATGGGATTCAGTATCCGAACCCCTTGTCACACACGACCGAACACTGCCTACCCCCCATCCCCCTTAAACCTCAATTTCCCATCTAAGCCAGTCTAGCGGGGACCAATTGGCGCACAGCATTTAGGCTTAGCGCGGAACAATAGGCGCCCAGCAAGTTCAGCCACGTACGGACGTACAAAATTCTGAAAAACAGTCGACTTAAACAAGGACTGAGCCGCACCCTGCATCTGCTTGGAGAATCTGATGACGAGGTGTGGTCATGTGATTATAACACATGAACTGTTTTCAACTGCACACCCAAGCAACATTATATCTTTTCAAAGTTGTCTTTTAATCTTCTTAAGTTCAATGAATATATTAAAACCTTACACAAACACTGTTAATTCTATTGCCCTCCTTACATGTGCTGCGGTCTACCTTTGACTATTCTAATTGTCCAAACTTGCGCTCTTCAAATTGCTTGATATTATAACAGGTCAAGAGTCAACCGTTCCACATGCTTGCCTACATGTGCCTGTGCATGACGCACAACCCGGGCGTCATTAAATCAACCACAGCCTTGAATATAATTGATACCAGTTTGACAACTTTTTCGTCCAAACCACGCCTACGACATTGTTTTTCAGTCCTCACCATTAAAATTGTCCAGTCAAGTACTCAGTTGTACGTCTGTTCACTGAGATTGTTTTTCAGTCTTCGACATAAAATTGTTCCCTCGAGTCGAGTAGAGACAGAAGACAAGATGAAGACCCTTCTGGTACTGATCGCCGTGGCTGTGTTTGCAACAGTGACCGGTAGACCGGCAGAGGGCGGTAAGTTTGTCCAGAATTCAGATGTCTCTTTCTGGACGGCCGGAAACCCCGTTTGGTATGCCCTCCTTCCACACGGAAATCGCCGCACGGTGTCGAGGTGTTCTCAACACTGGGTAGGATTGAAACAACGCCGTTTAGTAGAGAGTTGGTCAAGAATGTGCACTATTGAACTAGCCATGTGAAACTGAGTAGCATTGCCGTAAAGCGTACTACAGAATCTACAAATACTATTTTCATTTTGTGTCGACATCGCGCTGTACCGCTGAAAATCCGCCATTTTTGGTGCTGCGGTGCCGCACGTAGTCCATACGAAAATCGTGCCCAGTTACACATTTCACTGTCCTATGGTACCAATTTTTGACCAACTTTCTACCGAATAGTGCTGTATAGCTCCTACCCAGTGTCGTGTCGTAACCGTGTGCCGTGTCGTAGCCGTGTGCTAGCTTTCTGACCGAGTACTTAGTAGTTGAATAAGAGCGAACAGGAAGTTAAAAGGTGTACAAAAGATATTGTGACGTGTAGTGCCTCTCATTTCAGCTTTGTCCCCCGAATGTTTTAACCACAGCTTTTTATCGAAGTAGTTACATGTTCTTAACCCAAACAATGGTTAGACGTAAACGTAAATGTATCGGACGGAGTTAAGAAGCACGCAGAACCACACCGACAGCCTGTATTTTTAACCGATGTGACGCAGTACGAAATGTACTGGTGAATACAAGTTTATGAAGAAATGATCTTTATTTGCACGTTCCTCCCCATGTGGATCGAATGCAGTAGTTTCACATGGATCATTTACGTCATTGCTTTTTTTTATAGTCCAACATTTCATGACTAGACATGGTGACGACACACTCAAGTTATATCAACTTATTATTTATGCCGCCACCAACGCAGAGGACGAATGCAGGACAAGACAATACTCATTTTTACTGGAGTTAAGTGAGGAAAGTCGTGTAAAGTGCCTTTCCCAAGGGCTTGTCAGGACTCAAACCCGGGACCTCTTAGTTCCGAGTCAAGCACTCTGCCGCTACGCCGCACGACCCCACAGTCAATTTAGAATGTTCCTGGAAAGAAAACAATTAAAGCGATGCTACACTACATTTATCGTTTACAAAGCAGTAGAACATATAAGGATATGCTACCATTCAATCTATAGCTATAGTGGGGGTCATGTGGCGTAGCGGCAGCGTGCTCGACTTGGAATCAAGAGGCCCGGGTTCGAGTCTTGACACGCCACCGATCTTGTGCCCTTTGAAAAGGCACTTTACACGACTTTCCTCACTTAACTCAAGTGAAATTGAGTATTGCCCTGTCCTGTATTCGTCCTTTGCGTTGGTGGCGGCATAAAATAAGTTGATATAACTTGAGTGTGCTGTCACCATGTCTAGTCATGAAATGTTGGAATATGAAAAAAAATCTATAGCTTACATCTCTCGTCCCTCTTCTTAATTTGAACAGGTATATACAAACTCACAAAGTAGAATCAGTGATTTTACTGGTAGAGATTATGCCTGGAGTATGTAACGTTTGCTAAAAAAACAACTTCAAATTTTTATTCATGCCGTTTTAGATCAATGGATTGACTTGAAATTTAAATGTAACCCTACACTCTCTAACGAAGATAACTTTCATATGATCTGAATAATATTTGATGTTACATAAAGTACAGTTCTGAAACAAGTACCCATTTTACAATGCATTGTTCTTCCGTTTTTGTCCACTATTTGTTGCCATTGCCATTCTCATGGAACAGGGCCCCGGGTTAGTGCGGGTAGACCTGTAGTCTGGCCCGGGAAGTCTGAACAGTGGGAGACGCAAATTTCCGTCTCGTAAACGGTCGTCGCTGGTTGATGCCATATCCAAGCACAATATACCTTATATTTGGTGTCTAAAAACGTTTTAAAAACATAATATGTACTTTAAAAGGCAACCTTCGAATTACAAATGGTATGAGTGAAAAAAGCACAAGCGCGGATTCGAACCCGGGTCAAAAAGCGTAGCTCTAAACCTATACCCCACCCGAAACATGGACCGTGCCGATACACTTTTAAAAAGATAGCCGTTCTGTGATATGGCATCGACCGTTTCAAATTCAAAAGGCGACGGCCGTTTACGAGACAGAAATTAGTGGAGACGACACGACCGGGCCATTCAACGAGTTTTTTTATTCCAACATTTCATAACTAGACATGGTGACGACACACTAAAGAGTGTCCCAGTGCACATTTCCTCAACTTATTTTATGCCGCCATCATGTACCAACGCAGAGGACAAATTTTCACTTGAGTTAAGTGAGGAAAGTCGTGTGAAGTGTCGTTCTCTTTGTCAGGACTCGAACCATGGACCTCTTGGTTCCGATCCAAGCTCTCTGCCGTTACGCCACACGACCACACATAAGTGAGTACTTGCATCTATGAGTGTCTGTGTTGACTGATGATGGGTGTTTAGTATCATGATAACGTGAACCTGTATTTCAGACCCAGAGGATCTCTCTAGGTGGGATGTGATCAAGCTGGCCAACAAGAGGGTTCGGGCACAGGAGGAAGCGATCGGCCATCAGCTGGATAACGGCGTGATTCTGGACGCGGTTATCGAGGGCATGAGGAAAGTCAACGGAGGAAGTACTGATGGTATGTCATCATGTTTTCTCAAAAAGGCCACAGCTAGTAATTTCTATGGATGACATCAGCGCGCGCATGGATTTTTTTCGCCTTATTTTGGGGGAGAAAAAACAAACAAGAAATTTTGTTGCCTTCTGACAGTGGTTCACATGCAGAAAATGGACAAAGATGTCTGTTGCCATGCCGGAACGTGGATGGCAAATACGTATATATGAAAAGAGGAGACAAGACAAGCTTAAGGCTCTGATTTAATGTTTTGTCTTTTACTTTGATGCAGTTACGTATTTCATTTCTTTTGTATGTGTTGGTGGCTGTGCATATGTGATGTTTCCACTGAGTCAAAAGAATTTGTACAATGATTGAAAACTTTTTTTCTTTCAAAGTTGTTTCATTGCGAAATGGATGTAATAGTTGGCAGTACACCTAGCGCAATACAGATATCATTTCTTCTTGTTTAACAATGTTTGAAATATGATGTCAAAATTTCAAAATGTAGGAATGTTAATTTCTTGTTTTGCTCTACTTTATTCTACAATGCAGCCGTATTCTATCCTATTCTAGATTCAAAATTCTATTCTTGTCTATTATTGTTTGGCTGTTATACTGCGTTGTTTCTAACATAGCCCGTTTCTATTTCATAAGAAAAATGTCTATTTGATGATAAAAAATGCGGACGAAATTGCACGAACAACTACGTACGTGAACATTATACACGTGTAGTTCATTAATTTGTCTCAAGTTGTCTAGTTATCTGTTGCCGGAGTGTGTAAAAACTATACAGAGGAAGGCTTTAGTTCTATTTTTTTTATACTCCAACATATAATCACAAGGCGTGGTGACGGCACACTCAAGTTTTTTTCAACTTATATTAATGCCACCACCAACACATGGGACATGGACAGTACAATACTCATTTTCACCTGAGCGAAGTGAGGAAAGTCATGTAAAGTGCCTTTCCCAATGGCACAAGATCGGTGGCATGTCAAGACTCGAACCAGGGACCTCTTGATTCCAAGTCGAGCACTCTGCCGCTACGCCACACGACCCCACATTTAGTTCTATTCTATTCTATTCTATTCTATTCTATTCTATTCTATTCTATTCTATTCTATTCTATTCTATTGCTGAAGAACTGTATGTTATTGTGCTTATAACATGTATTTTGTGTTCATCAGGTGACGGTTCTAACAGGAGGGAGATTATGAAGGACTTTCTTAACAACCATGGGGAAGGACTTGGCCAGAAGCTGGAGGGTGAGTCTTGTTTTTAGATTTTTTTCTCATGGAAGTCATCGTTCTATTACTGTTCAAAGGTATTTCTGTCAATAAAGGATTGTGGAAGAAGTTACTAGTACATGTGTATTTCTAACTTCACACTAAAGCTGTATGTAGCATTAGGACGAAATGTAATTGTTTTTGTCAATTCTTTACACAAGTAAGCTAAATCAACCATACGGCAAATAAGGCCATGTTAATTTGATTATATGGATGACATTCTCTGGGAACCCCAAAACTCATGCGAGCGTGCGACTGAAAAAAAAAGTTTGGCCAAAAAAAGGTGCTTTCATTATGAAATATACGTGGTTTTGAAGGTCGAACAAATGACACAGAGTATGGTTTGGCGAATAATCTAGTCTTCAAATTCATTTCTTTACATTTTCGTCTTTTTCGTTTGATTTTGTCATTCTACGACATTGGTATCGTTTTCCAATGTGTTTTTTTCCAACTTACGGTATATATTTGCTCCTCTTGCAACTGTTTTGTACGATCTACAGTGTGGTTGAAAACTTTCTTTTTTAAACGGCCGAAAATCAACATGGCCTAAGTGCCATTAATTAAGTGGAGGTGTTAAAATATTACGCCTTACGAGTGTGTTAAAAGCTGATAACACAGCTGACAGTCATGTTTGTTTAAATTTTAATAGTTAATTGTGCTGCCACAAACAAGTGTGTACTGTTAAACAACCATAAATATCAGAAATGTGTGATAATTCCATAAATATGTTGAAAAGTGGAAATGAACTACAATCACACGAATATTCCTTTATAGAATACTTTAATTGTTGGTGCCAAAAAAAAATTACATAATGGTCGTTTAAAACACGTTTGCTTCACTTGCTACTTAGGTGAGGAAAACCAGAGAGGCCTTGTTGTCGACACTTTGCTGGATAAGGGGAATGCGCAGGGTAAGAATGCCATTTTTTCATAATTATAATTTTTCATAAGTCCGAGTAAGAATATTCAGAAGGAAGGTGCAAAGGAATAGCAAACTTCATAATCTATGGAAAGCAATTTATCTTTATGTTATTGTTGAATATAGACCTTTATTATACCTACATACCCAATGGGTTAAGTGAATATTACAGCAAAGGAATAGCTTGTATATACATGACAAACATAGTTTATATACAGATGGTCAAGCTAGCACTGACACGATACTATATGGTCTATTGAGTAAATAGATCATATAGTATAAGAATACGTTTTTTTAGTGCAAATTCATGATAACTACTAAGAAACTACTAGTAAAAACTACTGGGTTTGACTTCTTTTTTGGAGACAGAGGAAGACAAAGGATCCCTCTTTTTCTGTCATTTGTGGGTTTTCGGATGTTAATAGGAGAGTAGTTTTCTTTTCATTTGTATATGTGTAATAATATAATGGTGAAAAGGTAAGAACAGACATGCTTTAGGATCAGATGTTTTCTAAGTATACGTATAAAGATATTCCGTTTCTGTATGTCTTTAAACTAGACCGGACAGAGAAAGGGATTGTGTTACTTAGCCTACAATTTGTATTTTGCAGCCGATGGAGACCGAAAGTGAAGAAAACAATGGGTAGCGAGGAAAGTAACTGCATGGCCTAACCACACACGCCTGCGACCGAGACTAATGGCTTTGATTTGTAGCGAAATTTCTAACTTTTATTACCATAGATTATATTCTCCCTTGTGATATGTATGAGTTCCTATACCTAGTGAAATTGGTGAGAAACTTTAAGCAAATGTCCACATTTCTGTTCCGAACACGTAAATGGTGATATCATAACTTGAAGTGAAAAAAAATCGTTTCTTGCATAGTCGATTTTTAAAGAATAATACTGAACTAAACATGACCCAATCAAGTCCACAGCTAAATTTTTCTGATAGTCCAAACGGAATTCTGTTACGTAGTTTTCAATTTGTTTCTTATTCACAAAGGTGTTCTTGACGGAAAGAGCTACAGTGAAGAAATGTCTAAAGTGAAAAATGCCAGTTTAATTCAGTGAATAAAGAACTTGCTTGCTTAAAGCATCTTGTGAGACCATTGAAACTGTGTGTTGGTTGAATTCTAAGGACAGATCAGAATTTTATGGTTTGTATACGTACATGTATGTATGTATGTGTGTGCGTATGTATGTGACTGTCTCTCTCTCTCTGTGTGTGTTTGTATATATGTGTGTGTGTGTGTGTGTGTGTGTGTGTGTGTGTGTGTGTGTGTGTGCGTGTGTGTGTGTGTGTGTGTGTGTGTGTGTGTGTGTGCGTGTGTGTGCATTTATGTATGTATGTTGTGCGTTTGTGTGTGCATGTATGTATGTTTTGTATGTTATGCGTGTATGTCTGTGTGTGTATGTGCGTGTGTACGTATATGTGCGTATGAATGTGCTTGTGTGTGTACGTGCGTATGTATGCTGTAAGACTCCTGTCACACATCTCCTGACCTTGTCCTAGAGTGACCACTGCCCATGCAACAGATGTCGACGTCGGTGGTGACTAGTACTGGTGAGTTGAGAGCAGTCGAACCAGTTTAGGCCACGCCTATTTTTTGCGACAACCGAGGCCCGAATGCTTTCAGACTTAATCCAAACTACTTCCAACCATCTTGACTTCGAGTCCCAAACTACCCACTCCCTTCTGAATTTCTGACCGATTGTCAACCAATGAATCGCGCATACAAACCATTTGAATGGACAGCGAAGTGGGGAATTTCTAATTAAAATGATTCGTACTTGTTGTACGTTTTTTTCTAAGGTCAAACGTGTGTATGAGTGTGTGTGTGTGTGTGTCTGTGTGTCTTAAGATTCTTGATGGTAAGCATGCTACTAGAAATATTTTCTTTTCTTAAGAAAAAAGGAGAACAAAATTCTTTGCGTAAGAATCAACATACAAAATCTCTGAAGAATATTTCTTGAATTTTCTTGAAAGTCCCCTTCACAACAAAAATATTTCTCAACATAAGAAAATAAGAAAAAAAAAATTGGTAGTGTGTTTGTGTTTCTGTGCCCATATATCTGTGTGTGGACATGTTGCAGACATGACCACACTGTTTTTATCGAAAAGACCACAGCAAGTAAATTTTATGGATGACATCCTCCGCAGACTCCAAATCTAATGCGAGCGGGCGAAAAAAAATGCGGGCCGAAAAAACAAGGTTCCTACATTTTAAAATTTGACACAATCATTGTACAAATGGTTTTGATCAGTGTGAACATTACATATACACAGCCAGCATCACACATCACTGCATCAAAGTAAGAAACAAAACATTAAATCAGAGCCTTTTCTTGTCTCCCTTCTTCATAGTTATCTGCCATCCACCTTCCGGCATGGCAACAGACATCTTTGGCCATTTTTCGGCATGTTGACCACTGTCAGAAGGCAACAAAATTTCTTTTTTTTTTCTCCAAAATCAGGCGAAAATTAATGCGCACGCTGATGTCATCCATAAAAATTACTTGCTGTGGCCTAAGAAAATGCTGTGGAGATGGGGAGGGGGGTAATAACCAGTGACATTTGTGTTGACCCTCTGGCGCCAGAAGGCACCTGGCATCATACTGGGTCTCCTGAAGACAAACAACCGTGTATTGTCTGCTGGAAGGTTACAATTACTTCAACAGGTCTTCTGGAAAACTGTAATAGGTCTGGTGGAAAATGTTACATCATTATTGCTACAAACTACTGCCGTTCCCTTGATGCAATTTACATGCATTGATGATTTTGTTTTTAAAAGTCTGTATTTTTGACGGAAAATTGACAGTTCGAATGAAAGCTCATCAGTGTTGGTAGAATCCATAGTTAGAAAGTTTAAGCTTGTTCCAACACGAGGAAGAACTCACCATAAATTTTCGGTTGATACCGTCAACCTTCGTCAGATGTATGATGCAATCGCTGACTTTTCTGGAAGTCAGTTTGCGAAATCTCGTTGGGAGAGACCTGCACGCCACCTTACAACCGCTTTCACACCGGCGCGATGTTGCAAGCCTGGCGTTACTATATCGATATTTCCACGGCAGATGCTCTGCTGAACTTCACTCCCTTGTACCCCCACTCAGAACATTCTCTGCAAGAACACGCTTAGCCACCTTAACAGCAGAAAATCACCCTTTCTTCCTCAATAGTCCATCAGTCAAGAGAACATTTCATGCTGACAGTTTCTCCCCCAGAACCACTTCACTGTGGAACAAGCTTCCCCGTGAATGTTTCACCGCTAATTACAACCTCCAACGGTTTAAATCAAGGGTGAACAAATATCTGACCACGCAGTCATCACTGTAACCCAAAACATGTAAGTGGCTCTCACGAGCCTTGTTTTGAGGTGAATCTGAAGTAAATAATAAAAAAAAAGAAGCGTGATGACGTCAGGAGTGCATCAAAATTGACAGTTGTTGAAATCTTAGTGGTGGTCTTTATTTCAAGTGGTACGTGTATGATTCAAGTTTTTATTTCGTAAACTTTCAGAGAAGACTTGGACTAGTGAAGCCTATGTTTAGTGTTCATCCCGAAGGCAAGGTATTTCATGTTCTTTCAAGATTTGCGATCTTATCAGTCAATCTGTCAGTCAATAGAAAACGAAGGATTTATTGCAGGGACTTCTAAGAAATGTCTTCAAGATTTCATCAGACATTTTTCGTTGTACAGATCTTATAGCATTCTGAGGCAACTGGTTCGTCACTTTTAACATCACAAAAATACAGATTCTAAACGTCCCTGTCACACATACATTGTAGCCGAAGAGGGCCTTTAGAACACTAGCCGAACTCTCCCCAACCTTGGTAGAAAGTAGATCGAGAGCAAGGTCGGCTGTGGTTGGCCGGTGTTGGACGAGGTCGGCTACTGTCGGGGGTGCTATACGAATGTTGCAAAACGTTAAAAAAATTGGGGTGAGGACAGGAGGGGAGGTTGGGTCATGTTTTTTTTTTAATTTTTTTATTCCAACATGTAATCACCAGACGACACACTCAAGTATTTTCAACTTATATTAATGCCACCACGAACACAGGGGACAAATACATGGCAGGACAATACTCATTTACACCTGAGCGAAGTAAGGAAAGTCGTGTAAAGTGCCTTTCCAAAGGGCACAAGATCGGTGGCATGTCAGGACTCGAACCCGGGACTCTTAGTTCCGAGTCGCTCACTCTGCCGCTACGCCACACGACCCCACAACAACAACAATGGGTCATGGTTGGTGTTTGGCCGGTGTTTCGAGTAAGTGCGTGCGAGTGTTTGAGGTGTGTTAAATCTGACTCAAATTTAACTCAAATTCGATTCGCATAGAAAGGTAGGCGTGGCCTAAATCTGGTCAGAGACTGCTCCCGAACTTCAGTCAACCATGGTTGGTAGGTGGTCCTGGGGAAGATTCTAAATGTGTGTCTTTTCTTTACACATCGTCAGACGCCATGACAGGTTGACGTCCATTATAAAGATTAATGTTATAAGCTGGGGGTCAGTAGTTACTGACGTTGGTTGCGTGCCAGTGAGACACCTGAACACCCTCCAGACAACACAACACAACACAAAAGTGTAGTCTGTTTTACTGCCATTGTAAAAGGTCAGGACTACGTCAAAACACGGGTTAACATGGCACATGGCAAGCTGACGTCTTCGCACGCACGTAAATTTTATGTGTCTTCTTCTATTGTTCTACGTAACCATCAATTGAATACGACCTTGTGACCAGAGGTATAACCATACCTATTAGTACTGACACAGTGATGACCATTACCTACAAACAGAAAAGCTGTTAACAGTATGATTTTTTTGATGTGCCTAATTTTCTGTGTAAAATTGACAGATGATGTTGCAAAAAATCTTGTTGTCACATGAGATCAACTCCATACGAAACGCACCTTAAGTTTAATGTCAATATACTGAAATCAGACGTTTGAGTGATGATTCAGTGTAATTCAGTAGGTAGAATTTGGAGTGAGACATGACAAGACACTTTATCACATGAGTTCAACTCCATACGAAACACGCCTTGATGTCAAGATGCTTACGCAAGGCGTTTTGGCGATGACTCAGTGTAATTCAGTAGATAGAATTTGGAGTTAGACTACTAGTAGTTAAACTGTGCACAGACTGTGACACTGAAGTGTGTACGTGATGTAAGAACTACGCTCTAGCGTACGCTGACATTTGGTGACCTCAGTGGCAATGAATGCCGAGTGTGCGCGTGTGTGAGAGAGGTGGAGAAAGAAAGAGAGGGGGGGAGAGAGGGGGATACAGAGAGGGAGAGAGAGGGAGAGAGAGAGGGGAAGAGAGAGAGGGAGAGAGAGAGAGAGAGAGGGAGGGATTAAAGAGAGACAGACAATGAGCCAGTGGTAGAGTTATGGATTATAGACCTTGACCTGCTATTAGATATATTACTAGTATTGTAAAACTTAATGTCCACATAACTGTCATTTTCCTTTTTCACGACACAGCTTAATGTGTTGTCTTGCTTTCCCTCTGTTCCTTCTACATTATCAATAAGACCATGCCTTCTTTTCTCTCAACTGTAAGAAGCTTGTATTGAAGCGCCACCTGTCGCTGTTGGCGAGTACTTTAATATACATTCGTTCTTAAGAAAACTGTGTATGAACACGAGGTCATCTAGCGGTGAAATCACGAACTACAAGACGTTGTATATTCCTACTTTGTTAGGACAGTCAGCTAAAGCCCCTGTCACACATTCAGACCCTCGAGCTCCTTGATCTTTCACCCACTAACCAACCAAGGTTTGCTAGAGTTTGGATACAATCTGACCAGATCAATGCCGCCCCTACCTTTCTTTGCAAATCCAATCGAATTTGAGTTAAAGTTGACTCAAATTTCACCTCTCCCAAACACCTCTGATGATCTACCGAACAAAAAGGCCAGCAACCATCTAAACATGGCCGAACCTAGCTCCCCTCCACATCCAAATCTTTTATATGTAACTCCGGATAAGTTCACACAAACTCCACATAGAAAAAGGCAGACACAACCGCATTCCTGTACAGCAAAGGATTTGCCAATTTTGC